GGAGCCAAGTGTCGATCTAGCGACATTGTGAGGGCCCAAGCGACTTGTTTACCATCGGTTTTAGATGGGATCGGCAGCGCTTCAGCTGCTGCCAAGTGCCAGCTCATAGAGCTACCTGGGCGCTTCGGCAATTCCTGGGTTTGACAACCCAGATACTCCTTACACACTCCCAACCCCCTACTCATCCTGATCTGAGGGAGGATGGATTCGAGGGGCCTCAGAGGCCCTCTTCACGCCAAGAGGAGCGTTTTTCCTGGCGCTTTTGAGTGCCAGGTCACCAGGATGCTCCGGACCACGGACCTGGTGGTTCATGACTCCCTACCCCTTCCATGGAAAGGAGACCAACCCTTTCTAAGGAAAGGGTTCTCATCTATTATGGTTATAGATGGGATCGGCAGCGCTTCAGCTGCTGCCAAGTGCCAGCTCATAGAGCTGCCCAGCGCTTCGGAAATTCCTGGGTTTGACAACCCAGCAGCACCTACTCCCTCCACTCTGCAGGAAGTCGAATCCGAACCGCCTCCTTGGCCCTCTGCAGGCCAAGAGGGATGCTTTCCTGACGCTGTTAAGTGCCAGGTCACCAAGATGCGCGATGCTGTTCCACATCGCGATTTTGGTGATTCATTATTCTCCACCCCTTCCGCGGAAGGGAGACCAACCCTTTCTAAGGAAAGGGTTCTCATCTATCGTTCACTGCATAGTGAACGATCTGTTCTGCCCACAGACACTCCACCTCTGGGAAAGTCTGTGTGTTCCCGGCATTATTGGGTGCCGGGCCCCCAAAATGCGCGGTGCTTCTTTGTACCGCGCTCATTTCTCTGTTGCTTTTCCATCTGGAAAAGGGTTCTCTTCTGTCGTTCACTGCATAGTGAACGATTTGTCTTGCCAACAGACACCCCACCTCCAAGGGAAGGTCTGTGTTTTCCTGGCACTGTTGAGTGCCAGGCCGTCAAAATGCGCGGTGCCTCTTTGCACCGCGCTCATTTCCTTATTGCCTTCCCATGCCTTCCCATCTGGAAGGCTGGCCCTTTCTAAGGAAAGGGCTTCTCTCTATTGTTCACTTCATAGTGAACAAGCTGTCCCACCGATGGACAAGCCACCCCCAACAAAAAACCCGTGTCTGAATGATCAGACATGCTCAGTCCTGCCCAGTTCATGGGCCGCGCTTCCATTCTGTCACTCATATGGACAGAATGACCTCTCTACTCCCCTAGATGACTATCTAGGGAGGAGCAGATCACTGCTCAGAACTCCGGCCCACATTCAAGTGTGGCGGAAATTTTGTCTTATTTTTTTGACCTAGATTCCTAGGTTGAATTTTCAACTACTCCCCCAGACAACTGTCTAGGGAGGAGAAACAAACCCGTGCCACTCTTTAGTGGTTATCTTTGTGGGTCAGCATCGCGCTGACTCATATCAAACTATTATTTTACTCCCAGAGAACACTCTAGGGAGGAGCGGCCTCAGTGACCTTTGGAATCACTGGCCATCACCGGGGCATTGACCTTCGGTGAGTTACTTCCGTCACTGGAGTATCAACCTTCAGGTTGACTGCTTCATCTCTTGCTGGGTGGAAGCCATGATGCCGCAAACTTGTGGGCATTATAAACTTGTGCCCAATCCCGCAGCGGACCAATTCAGGTGTCACTGCCTTTTCTCATCAACAACAATGCCGTTGTTGGTTCTTTTCCTTTCCTTTTTTGATTTTTGACGGTGACTCAACCGTTACTCTAGCTTGTCATATTGACACTTGCTACTTCATCGTCGACAATGCTGTTGTCGAGAGCTGGGTACATATGTTCCAGGAGAAACTCTAAGTGGGCTTTGCCTACAAACTACTACTATAGCCTCCTGCAATGAGTGTACCCCCGCTTGCATACGTTCTTCGTATGTAGAGTGTTATATTTGCTTAATATGCTTGCTTTCCCTTTCATATGCTTGTACCCTGTCTGCGATTCAATATCGCAAGGGAGGAGGATGTAAGGGATTAACCTTACTTCACTATAATTCCGATTATAGTGATATTTATATTATGTTGCATCACTATAATTCCCATTATAGTGATGTGGTTATTTCTTTATTTATTTGTGCCGAGATATGTAATTTACATATATATACCTCGGAGTAGTTGTAAAGGCCCGGTAGCCTTTTACCTCTACCCCGTTGAATATACAGCACATTAAAGCTTATATTTAGACGGACTACCTGAGGCCTGAGGCGAACGGGGGAATGGAACATACCATCCCCAAAATAGTAAGCAAACCTTTCATCGGGCCACAGGATGACCACCCGCACTCAGGGCCAGGTTCATCAGGTGGTGGGAGGTGGTCTAGCCAATTACCCTCTGGGAAATCGCCAAGGAGACTCTCCCAGAATATGGTGGAACGGCACCACATCGGGCCACAGGATGACCACCCGCATTTAGGGCCAGGTTCATCTGGTGGTGGGAGGTGGTCTTGCCAATTACCCTCTGGGAAGTCACCAAGGGGACCTTCCCAAAATATGGTGGAACGGCACCACATCAGGCCACAAGATAACCACCCAGAATTGGGGCCAGGTTCATCAGGTGGTGGGAGGTGGTCTAGCCAATTACCCTTTGGGAAGTCACCCATTGCCGAAGCAATGCCAACACCGGTTTTTCCTCTGGAAAAACCTCATGGTCTATCCATGAGATACAGAGATCACACTCTCTGTAACCTACTCTTGGGGAAAAATCCCCGAAATTTTTCAACTTTTTCCCTTTCATCATCTGAAAGGGATACCACTATACCATCTACTCACTATGGGGAAACCCATAGTGATCCACCTGTCCAGCCAACAGATAAACCACCCCCAAGGGAGGTTAAATTCATCATCTGACTTCCAGATGATGTGACCTTACCCAATACTGGGTAGAACCGCTTCCTAGATCAGGAAGCAGGTGGAGTGATGCCAGGTCTCACAAGGCCAATCGTTCCTCTGGCCATACCCTTATATGGCTAGACCACATTTTTAAACCTAGACATCTGTCTAGGGGGGAGAACCCTTTACCTGAGGGCAAAGGATTTTTACTCATTATTTTATTTTATCACCTAGACACCAGTCTAGGGGGGAGAACCCCGCAAAATTTGCGGAGGTAACTAACATTCATTTATTCTAGCCTCCACTCTATTATTTAAACTTTCTTAACAATACACATAACATTTCACTCACTTACCAATACACTCCTTTTTTCTTACTTTCTACTTTCTCCATTTCGTAAATTACCACATAAAATTGTCATGGAAAAGATTGTTTTTTCTTTTTTTTCTTTTCTCTCTTTTTCATGTACCCTTTCCCTCTTTCTCTTTGTGTGCGCTGACAAGCAACGCAAGGGGGGAGAGTGTCAGGTCACAGTCCATGTATGTAGGGGGTCACGTGACCCAGGGAGGTCACTATCGTCCTACCCACTGTGAATCATACATATTTGATACTCACAGCTGGGTTCTAGGACACCCACCTTACACAGACTCTGCATGTATATATGTAGCTGACTCTAAGATGGGGACATTCCTTTCCCCTGGCTTTAATCACAACTAGGTTATCAGAGCAACCTGTGCAAGCATGCATGTCCCCTGACAGGGGGACATTCTAGTTGATTTTGAACTACTGTACAAGCAATAGGTACAAGCTGTATATAAGTGCTAAGGAACTGAATAGAAAGTATGTAAGTCCCCAGATCTCGTGGAGATTGCAGGTGGAGAAAAGAAAGAGGTAAACAAACAAAGAGGCATGTGGTTAAGACAGTGAAGGTCCACCATGACCTTCGCCACATGATAAAAGAGTGCAGCAAAACATGGAACAAGAGGTCATGGTGCTCTGCACTGCTAGGTCATTCAACAACAACTAGGGGAGGGAACATTAAGACATAGTGGGGAGTAGTTGGGCAGCAAGCAGATATGCAGGGAGTGTTTGGGCATGGGAAAAGGTCAGGGAGGTCATCTGACTCTGGGGAACACAGGGTCATGACACAACCCTACACCATCTACCAGGGTTACTGTAGGGAATGGATGTGTGGTAATGCATGCTGTGCACACTTTCTTTATTCATTGTTTATTACTCTTTATTTCTCAATGTAAACAATGTATATAAATTGCGGGGAAGGGTGAAACAGGTTTTCACTCTTCTCCTCCCCTGTCGAAATAAAGCTCTATACTGCCTAACTTCTGACAGCTTGAGGATAGCAAGAGTCAACACCAAGGTCGGAACCTCAACCAACCTTACAGTTACTTCCCACTGTGGACATCACCACATACAACCTACAACAGCCATGGTAAAGCAACATGATTCCTTGACCTACTCAACCACAAATTGAAGACAGTGGCTGAGGGAAAGGAAGTTATGGGCATCAGTTGGGGCATTGAATGACCTTGCTGATATCAACAATGATCGGGGCTTTCATCTTGCCCTGGATAAGAAATCGGGTTCCATCTTTACTGGCTTGAGGAAGGTAAAAATGGTCCTTAAGACCCCAGCTATTGCTGTATATCATTCGATCACCATACCAAACTTTCCAATCATCAGTGGGTTCTAGCTGTCGCTCGATTGCACAGTAATTATATGGGATGTCAAGTTCATGTTTCCCATTGAACCAGATGCCAGCATTGCAAATTAAAGGGGCCATTCCAGCTGCAGAGGAATAAATGCGACCGCATTCAGAATAGATGTCCTTCATGGTTGGTGAGAGGTCATAAAAGGGGTATTCCAGCCAGGATTCATCCAGGTCATTCCTGGAAACGGGCTGGGTACCCTCTTCCCAGATCAAAGGAAAGGCAGGCTGATGGAATGTAGCATTCAGGGCAAAAAAGGAGCAAGATGGAACAATGCCGGTATTGATGACCACATCACTGAAATTTGCACTCTGAAACTGAGCAATGAACTTGCCTGAATGTGTTGACCAGACAAAGATGACATGCTCATCTGCAGCACAGACATATTGGCCTCTAGGAGAGAAGCCAAGCAGGTTACGTTGAGGAAGAGACAAATCATCAGAATTGGACCACAGAGACAGAGTTGGAGGTGTGAGAAGCTGAATGGATGGGTTGCCTGAAATTCGTAAGACTGCTGTGTTCTCGTACCAACAGCCTTCAGCATTTCATGGTACTCGTATGATGAAAGGGCCATTGTCCAACACTGCAGTAACAGGAGTGTAACGGCTGCAGGGGAGAGGGCCGAGTTGCACTGAAGGCGTTCCATTGCCAAGAATGGTAACATTTCCACGAGTATCCTCAGTAGCAATGTGGATGTTGCCACCATGGATAAATTCGATCCAAACAGGAGGACAGGAAAGATTGCTTTGGAATCGAGAGATGGTGCACTGATTATCAAAGTTGGCTATTTCGATGATACCACTTCCAAATCCAAGCGCAATGTGATGGCCATCTCTTGAGAGCGCTGCACAGGTCACAATACCATTACGAACATTATCGTTGAGAAACTCGGCTTCATAATTGCCATCTACCTTTGGCAACTTAATCAGCTCCGCCTCCATCACCTTTCGAGCCCTGCATGCATCCTCACTTAAAGGGATAAAGCCACCCCGGGCGAACTCGCCGGAGACACTGAAGACTCGAACAGGAGAGAGATGAGCATAAAACTCGCAAACAGGCGATGACATCGGAGTGAATGGAAGGATATTTCGATAAACATCCCAAAGAGTCTTATGTCTAAAGAGGCTGTTGGCAGCACAAATGACAGATGTTGACTTGTGATTCTGTGAAGCAGAATGATATCACGTCATTGAAATAATCGGAATACAATTCATTTGGTCCTCACCTTGGACCAATTGCGAGGAATAATTTCACCACTCTTCTTCACTAGCACTACACATGCTAGTGTGAGGAACGAAACCAAGCTTTGTGTCCAGAATTGTTCAAATTCTCTCTGCAATTCATTAGACTCTTGTGAAAAGAGGAGTGAAGGGTCCAAGTGCCGGAACAAGTACATAAATGCATAGTCGACGTAATTGGGTAGCTTCTTTCGTTTCTCTTGTTTCTCTCGTTTGATGTCTCGGAGACCCCATTCATTCCTCTGAATGGCACCATTCACAAGTTGAAGGAGTCGCAACCCAAATGAATATCCTTTTTTGTCGCTAATAAAGAACACTTTGTCCTCTTCCTTGCCGAGCGGAATCCCTGTGATGAATTCCTTCACCGTTGCGTGGTAGAATTTGATAGCTTTGTTGTTCTTCGAAGGCAGACTAACTATGGAGCTGATGGGCTTGAGTGTTGAGTGGACCTCATGCTCTGTAAATGTTCCCAGGAGCTGTGATATATCACACACGCTGAGTCCCCTCCGTGCAGCAATCATCATCCCAACAACTTCACGGTATTTCTCCGCAATACGTGAATTCATTTCGCGATGCTGGCGTAAATAAGCTCGGCGCATTATTCGCAAGTACTCTGAGTTCAGATCCCGAGGTGCATCCGTGAGATTGAGATAGTAATCAAACTCAGATTCTAGCGTGGAGCCGCTCTGAGTCTGAAAGTGCACATCACGTATTCTGGTTGAGGCGATGATGGGTAAGCCACGGCAAGCTGAAGCAAAACCATCGAGGTCCTTCTCGGTCGGTTTCCATGGGGAGTCCATGATACAACGTTGAAGCCCATCCACAACCATACAATGGATCGTGTGGAAATTCTCGTCTTCCGCAATCAGATCCATATCTTCATGAGCAATCAAGAGATGCGATTTGGCTTGGTCCCAAGCAGAAATCACTTGTGGTTCCGGGCGACAACTGACGAGTATGGCAAATGTTGAAGGCAGCTCATCCAGCAGAAGAACGAGCCTCATCAAGGATTCAAGTACTTCTGGATCACCACACTCGTCAAGTCCATCCAATACGATCACAGGGCGATCATTCCCTGAAGACAGTGCATCCCTGAGTCCAGCCATTGGGTTGATAATCCAAGCTTTCATGTCCTTCTCTGCAGCAGAACCACGGAACCTGCTGAATGAAGCGGGCTCCCGAAGTTGCCTGATAAGCAAGCACTTATATTCGGCATTGAATTCCGCAAGCTGTCGGGCAAGGGTGGAGGGGAAGCGCTCAATCGAATCGAGTCCTGTTCCCTGTTGGTTCTTATCCCAGAAGAAGGACGCTGCGAGGGTGCCCTGGTTATCGAGAGTGGAAGCCACGCTCATAGATATCGCGGTTTTCCCGGTCCCAGGTGAACCACGCAGCCAGACAAATCGGTTCTTAGGTGATCGAAAATTGAGTCGCGAATTTTGTCCCGTGTGGTTTCGAGGCATTCTGACTTGCTCTTCACGCGGTGCCACTCAGCATCCGCTTTGGGCAGTTTTGAAAGCCCATCTGAAAATGGGCGTTGAGCTAGAAAGCCTAAATCGAAACAAAAAAGGACAAACAGTCCACCGACACTTGAATCGTATTGAGAAGGTTCAAAGTTGTTGCTACCATCTACAGGGCCCACTTTATTAGTCAAAGTATAGCAGCATGAATTCAAATCTTATGCACCGCAAACCGGGAGAGTGCTACACTGATACTTGTCCTCACGTCGGTTATGCTTTGCGCTAACAGGCCCGCATTGAATATTTTCTTGAAGAGGTTTCGATTCTGACTCTGGAGTGACTTGATCCTCTGGACCTGGCCTTCCAGAGCCCTGTCAAAAGTGTTTGAGATCTCAATGGAAGGTCGGAACGGCGTTCACATACAAGTGTAATTCCTTCACTAGAAAAATGACTTCGGGAGGTATCGGTCCCATCCACAGTTGGAGTGGCCGTAACATGGTGCTACACGCACTTTGCACATCATCATTCAGCCATTTGAGAGCTTTGTTGTTACTGCTGACGTTCTGCGTGAGTGAAGCAAAAGTGAGGGACACATCATCATTAACTGTGAAAACCATATTCGAACCTCGTAAACCTGAAGTAGCATGAGAAGTGAGTCCGGAATGTTAGGGAGGAACGGGACAGGCGAGAATTTGAGAGCGGAGGATGCGGTTTGGAGAATGAGTCTAGTGGCGCTAATGATGCTTTCCTTTTTGCCCTCCGACGGGCCAGCCGACGATGATGTAGTCGGTTCTGACACAGGGGGTACAAATAAGTTCATAGCATGTTCCAGTTGTGTGCGGGCGCTTTCACTATTGCCGTATGGGGCCCAAGGGTCAGGATTTGCGCAAGCAGTTTCGGAGAGTGATGGCGCCGAAGGGGGATATAGGAATTGGTCCGAATGCGCAGGAATCGACGATGCAGGCGTAGTGGGGACAGAGGATCCAAGGACAGGCGTGCTCGATTGGCTGATACTATTGACATTTGACCGCCAGGTCCTCATATCGGGCGCGAGCGATCGGAGACCGCCAGAAGGTGACCAGGGTGCCACAATCTGGGAAATTTCGGGATGAGATTCCATCGATCCATCCCACCGATCAGGGCGACTACCTTCGTAGGGGGTTTGTGAGCTGATGGGATAGATGTCAAGCGATGAGACCAAAGCGTGTGATTGCGAATCACTCTCATATATGTCAGGTAGCTCAAGCTCGGGGATTGGGAAAGGCCAATGATCACCGGAAGGACCAAAAGCGGGCGCGGGCGCAGGAACCCCGAGATAAGGTTCAACTGACCTGCTGCGCCAATCATGAGGAATGTCGCAGCTTTGGAGAGCCTGGGGGTCAGCGGGAAGGACCTGATGCGATGGAGGGAAGGAGTGCAGGTGCGGATGACTGTAAGATAGCCCAGGCAGCATCGTCACACTGCTTAGGGGGTAAGAATCACCAGAACTAGTTGCGGTTCCGTGAGCCACGACATACGCTCCACTGTGCCAATCATGAAGACTATTGTCGCCGGTTTGGAGGGTCAGCGGGTTAGCAGGATGGGTCTGGGAAGGGTCAAGTAATGAAGATGGGGCGGATGATTGTTGATTATCGTCGGGTGCCATAGGGGAACGCCGCTTTGGTGGGTGAGGTTCCGGCCCATCGGTAGAGGGTCGTCGTTTTCTGCGGTCCATAGTGCGAGTGCCAAAGCAGGGGTCAGAGGGTAAATAGATTGACTCTCCACCCACGGCTTCTTATATAGTTAGAGATTCATCCCAAGCTGCTGATAGGCGCGCGGTTTGGGCTAATTTAGCGATGGCAGTGCACCACAGTGAAATGCGTGGCTCTGAGACTGAGGCACCTTATTATGGCATTAATTGCTCTGGCACCCGTCAAATTACAAAAGCGATATTGAGTTCGTCAATTGCGCAGTCACTGGGCGCGGCGGCACTTAGAGTCACAGAACTGAAGGACACCGGATAAGGACTAGAAATAGGACATTGTCGTAATGGGGAAATACAGATATGATAGGAAGTTGAGTGAAGGCATGCCACTGGTGTCGGAGAGTGCGATGACAACACACCCCGGAGTGTTGTGAAGGCAAATAAATGACACAGATTGTATGATGAGGCACGTTGATAGGAGGGGGAGTGTGTGGGCCTGCCGACCACAATTTGTCGAGACTCGTACGGGACATAATGTTTACAGTCAAGGATGGTGTCGGCATAACATAGCAAGCACTCTTTGATAAACCGCGAAGCGAAGATATAGGGACTTCCCCTGCTTGTACAGATCCAAGTTGGATGGAGGATGTTTGCCCCTTCAGAGAGACATCCTAGCCAGACTCCAATTAATAACGGGAGGTGAGATGGCAGGAGCACAACGAAAGAGGTCAGAAATTTATTGCGCATACCAGGAATAGGACTTGTAGCGCAGGGACGGAGAAAATATTACGTCAGTTGGACTCGCTGTCAAAGAGAATCATAACAATTTCTGTCCCATGGACCAACGAGAATCTGCTCATTGAGTCAGGACAAGCGTACCGTTCCATGAAGATTTGCGAAGGCTCGTCCCCACTCAGTCCTCTTAGAGCGCGCTTAAAGGCCAATATGGCGTCTGCATCGTTTGCGTACCATGTATATATTAAGAGAGGAACACGCAGGAGAGACCAAAGGCATGTGATACCTATTCCCTGGATATCATGCCGTTCAACTTCTAGAAGGGTTTGGCCACAACTATTTGTACAGCAAGGGCCGTCGCAATGTATCCAAGGGTGTGTAAAATCCTAGCATCTTTCACCAGAATAAGGAATATCCCGGGAAGATGAAGCAATATGAGACACTGCTCCGGACCCGTGAAAATAATGGGAACAAGCAGTTGTGCTGTCATACCTGTATAGTCATTGAAGATGCAAAGCACGTATATCAAGTGAAGCCGTTTGCTTAGTGCGACGACTGGCAAGAGCCAGTTTGGCACACCAACCAGATTGAACAGTGCCATACAAAGGAACCGATGTTGCGGTATAAATACTCGCGTATATCTGCTGAAAAAGTCTCTGGTTCTTCCCGCCATCCGTCAGGTAATACAGCAGCCGATGTATTAGAACGTGGCCCGCGGGATATCTCCAAATGAAATGTCAGACTCATGATAAGGATTCTTTTTGAAGAGGAGGAAATACGCACACCAGTGGACCACTCGGGCCTCGAATGAGAGAGTACTTTCGTTCGCCAGAATTGTACACTTCGATCTGAGACATGTATTAGGCAGGATCCCAGCCTCTACTAAAGTACAGACATGTGTGTATCTGCGCGATGAAGATGTCGTAACGCGTAGCTCAAGAGACAAGAACTTACAGGAGACATATCTAATTAGCTGCGTAAGACATGCACCCCCAATAGGGACGAGAACCGCAGTATACCAATAGTAAGCTTGGTTGCACAAGAGTTCACGAAGTATGGAAAGCAGATTCTTCGGATCAAAAAGGGATTTCCCGGTTTGTTTGGCAGACGTAGCATTTTGCACGTAGCCAGACTGGCGAGGGACAGACATACGCAAGTGGTTGGCGAAGATCACGTATGGCGCTGCTCGCAGCTCCAAAAGAAGGGATGCGCTGTTTACTCTTGTTTGGTCATGAACTCGCGCCGCTGTCGAAGAAGAGGGAACACATCAGAAGCCATGTCTACGGACATCACCTCTATGAATGTCGCGTCCCTGAAGGCGCTCTGCAAATCGCGAGGAATCACAGGTTATTCGAAACTGACTCGCCAGGCTCTCCTGGAGAAGCTTGGCGTCTCTCAGCCCAAGTCCGCTTTCCCAACAGCAAGTCAATCCTCCCACAAGAGGTTGGGTTTGCATTTTGCTCTTTGAAGCTTATTCGTCTCATGACTGAATGACATGCTATCAGCGCTTCTGCTTGTGCACCAGAGGCGCACCAACCCACGCCACCCAGTGCGAGAATCGTTACTGGTTTTGTAAGTGAGGCTTTTCAGTCCATGGCTCTTTTATCCTGATAGGGGACACGAAACCTCAGGACGACGTGACAGAACATGTTTCGGACGTTACAACTTGTAGCTCAGTTTCAGTTGCATTGCCTGCAGTAGCTCAAAGTGGATGCGGGCATGTCCAAGACAAGGGATTCATTGTTCCTGTGATGCATCCCGAGTCTCGCGGAGCTGTTGGCACGTTTCCATCCGTTCCGCTTGTCCTCCCTGGCGATAGCTCGGAGCATCTATGCGACAGGAGACGAGACGTTTCTAATTTTGCCCAGCCTAAGGCCTCTTTGGTGTCTATACACGACTCTATTTATAGTATACAGTCTCAACCAACCATCTCCAATGCCGGAGATTCCTGCCAACGACGAAAAAGAGGGCCAGAGGACGCGATGGTCGCGTCGACATCATCCAAAAAGCCCAGGGAAGCACCAGAGGATCTGTATGCGAGTCAATTGGATCTGGACCCCGTTACCCGCTGCCCAAATCCTCTAGTAACGACTACTGGCATGGAACTCTCACCTACTGGCGTCAATGGAACCGTACCCGGATATGCTACACCGGAAATCGTTCTAGATTCTAGTGTCATTTCGAACACTGTTTTAACTTCTAATATGAACTCGAGCTTCAGCGGAACTGATTCTTCTATTGGGACCAAAAAAGGCCCGCTTCTGCTGGTTTCGAAACCATTCGTCCGCCACTATCCAAGCCCGCCAAAACTTCCTCCTGCCAAACCTACCAGCTTTGCTCCCCAGCGAAAAATTCCCATAGCTTTCCCTGATGCACCGTATCCTCTTTACCATCTTGATTTCCCTCCGGCATCTGAGCCCCCCCTGCCGAAGAGCCTCTCTGTGTCTCCACGTATATCCCAACGGTATATAACTGCCCAGCTCGCTGTAATCCTAATGGGGCTTTCGGACTCTGAGCGGGGTATTTGCATTTTGGTGTCCAAAGCCTGGAGATATGCAGGTATTGAAAATCCATTTTCATCCGCTGATAATATCCTACTCGCTTCGCAAAAGTGTACCTGTCAGCTTTATCGATACTTCAACATCGCTATGCGGGTGACCGACTAGAGGAATACCTCAAGCCTTTCAGGACATCGCTTTCCCAACTGAATCTTTGGCCGTATCTTCGCTACCGACAAGCCGAACAAGCCAGCCGCCGAAAGGCTTTCAATGAATCCTTCTTGGGAAATCAGTTCCTTGCTGGCCACTTACCTATTGACTGTCGCCTGTGGTGCAGTCCGAACAACGAGAGGCAGATAGTTGTTGCAATAAGGTATCATCCAGTTTCGCCAACGTCGGTGAACCAATAGTCTGTCTCGCGTGATAGGTTTCTCGAAGCTCGTGTCTGGCTGTCCTCAAAAATTAATGATCAACGCGTCGTCCGCTGGGCGTCCTCCAGCATTATTGATGCTCAACCTCACGTGGCAGAGACTGAGACCTCGAACCCCGATGTTTGGAAGATTTATGTGGAACACTCAACGACTGGACACACAACCCAGGAGGTGTTCTACATTTTTGCTGAAACTGGGGAAGCCATCGGTCACCCTCCTGATGATAGATTCGCTTCACGGCCACAACCGGAGGCAGCTGGTGCGGGTCTTGGTACATGCTTCGTTTTGATTGGCGTAACTATCTGTCTTTGGAAGCGTCAATGGGGCGGCGATCACTTATGGATATGATTCGTTGGACGAATGTTGAAGATTACGAGCATGGGATTAGTAGGCATTGGCTACGTCGAATGGCGAAAAGGGAATTGCCTGGAACAAACACGTTGAATGAGGCACTTTTGAAGGTTGCCAGGCGCTACATACTCGCAAACGTTGCCGGAAACAGGCATGTCTATTCCCGCTGATGGTTTACATCCTTCACGTCCATTCTTGTTTCTATAGCCTCAGTGGTTCATTTCAAACCTCTATCGAAATGGCATGTGAATCCAACGGACAGCATTGCAACATTCCTTCCGCGTTATCAGCAATTACGATCCCATCGCTTTTTGTCCCTGAGTGAGTTGTTTCTTTGCACTCGACTCGTGATTGAACCCTGACAACGTGCACAGACATTTGAGTCGATCCACTTGATGAATACTCACGGAATACCTCTCCATCCTGCAATCGCAGTAGTGCAGACACCTGCAAGGCAATACTACATTCTACGCGACACTGGTCAGGAGATTGGTTGCGAAGAGGCCGGAGGCGTGTACTGGTGCTGGTTAGACGTCGTTAGGTGTCAAGAGGATGGTGTGAGCACATGAGTTAGTTGTGGCATGTGGATGATAGTCCGCCGCTCGAAGAACCTGATGATTACGGTACGAAGACTTGATGTGCAGAAGCAAAGATATTGAACGGGGGCGGACAGGAGTGGCGCCAATGAAAAACACAAGGGTCATGCATGAGAAGCTTTACAGGAATCTTACACAATCGATCCCAAATTCCCGAGACTATATACGTACAGTCCGAGTATTCGGCTTGTGAACCCAAGTAGTATAGGCCATCCATCGTGAAACACTCTAAGCTTTACCTATGTTTTCCGACGTTTTGGTTTACCTATCACAAAATTAAGCGCAATTCAGTTCGTGCCACGGAGATAATATCCAAATTCGGGAGAAGACCACATGTACAGTGATTGGCCCAACGTTTCCATAAAGAGGATGTCCATGCGCGAACAGGGATCGAAGACACCGAGTCTGTAAGAAGTAGATTGAAGCATCGGCATGGGTCATTTGCCAACCCCCACAGATTTGCAGTCGCCAACATCACTCTTCGCCAGCTATACCGCCTTTAAGCTTCATATCCCTTTGAGCTGCTTGAAAAACTCATTGAGGACATCCCTGGATAACCGGGCATGGGCTGACAACGCGCCATAATGTTGGCACAGACCAGATGCCAGCGTAGATTCGCAATTATTAACTCTGCTCTTTGCACAGTACCAACAGTGCTCCCTTTGAGATCCCCTGGTTTCTTGTGAACGCATCAAATCCGAATCCGAATTAGCCAAATCCTAGATACGTCAGAAGTGTTACTAGTAGTTCTATCAAGACCCTTCGCGCGTCGACATATATGTCGGAATTCTACTGGTGCTTCTGCAACACGATCAACGCGTTCCGAAGTGGAAGAAGGTACTTAGCAGTTTCTGGCTCTATCTAGGCGCTTCTGCAACTTTCTATTTTGCATTTTCACGGAGAAGTCCCTTGCATGCGTGCGTGATTGTATCGTTGAGTTAACCGAAAACATTCAAGCAAGTGTCCAGATTGTATGCTTCCATCGCAACATGGTTGGCCCCGACAAGCTGAAAGAATCTTCATATTTAACTCTCACAGCCCAGTTTATCCCTTCTGCTTGCGGGATAGCCAGAAGGCCGTCAGATATTAAACGCCAAAATTATAATGATACAGCATTCCTGACATCGCCACATACGACCCACGACAGCCATGGTAAGGCAACATGATTCCTTGACCTACTCGACCACAAATTGAAGACGGTGGCTGAGGAAAAGAAAGTTATGGACGTCAGTTGGGGCATTGGACGACCTTGCTGATATCAACAACGATTGGGGCTTTCATCTTGCCCTGGATAAGAAATCGAGTCCCATCTTTACTGGCCTGAGGAAGGTAAAAACGGTCTCTAAAAGGCCGTTCATCTCCGTATATCATTCGATCGCCATACCAGACTTTCCAATCATCAGTAGCTCCTAGCTGTCGCGTGATTGAGCAGTAATCATATGGGATGCAGAGTTCATGTTTCCCGTTGAACCAGATGTGCGCTCCAAAAGAAAGGCCAATCAAAGGGACCTTTCCCGCTGCAGAGGAATAACAGCATTCAAAATCGTCGCCCTTCATGCCTGGTGAGAGGTCGTAAATGGGGCACTCCAGCCAGGATTCATCCAAGTCATTCCCAGAAACTGGCTGGGTATCTTCCGGGATCGAAGGAAAGGTAGGTTGATGGAATGTAACATTCGGGGTGAGATAGGGGCAAGACGGGACAATGCCGGTATTGATGACCATGTTGCTGAAACCTGGACTACGAAATTGAGCAATGAACTTGCCTGAATTTGTTGACCAGACAAAAACGACATGCCCATCTGAAGCACAAACATATCGGCCTCTAGGAGAGAAGCCAACCGCGTTACGTTGAGGAAGAGATAATTGATTAGGCTCGGAACGGGAAGACAGAGCAGGGAGAGTGGGAGGTGTGAGAAGCTGAATGGATGGGTTGCCCGAAACTCGTAAGACTGCAGTGTTCTCGTACCAATAGCCTTCGGCATTTTTTGGGACTCGTACGATGAAAGATCCATTGTCCGACACCACAGTAACAGGAGGGTAACGGCTACTGGGGAGAGGGCCAAGTTTCACTGAAGGCGTTCCATTGCCGAGAATGGTAACATTTCCATGAGTATCCTCAGTAGCAATGTGGACGTTGCTACCATGGATAAACTCAATCCAAACAGGAGGATAGGGAAGATCGTTGTCAAATCGAGAGATGGTGCACTGATTATCAATGTTGGCTATTTCGATGATACCACTTCCAAATCCAAGGGCAACGTGATGGCCGTCTCTAGAGAGTGCTGCACAGGTCACAATGCCATTGCGAACGTTGTCATTGAGAAACTCGGCTTCATAATTGATTGCCTCTTTGCCATATTTATGGACTACTTTTGGCAATTTAGGCAGCTCCACTTCCATCGCCTTTCGAGCCCTATGTGCATCCTCGCTTAAAGGGATAAAGCCACCGGCGAACTTGCCGGAGACACTGAAGACTTGAACAAGAGAGAGATGAGCATAAAACTCGTAAACGGGTGATGACATCGGAGTGAATGGAAGTTTGGATCGATAAATACTCCAAAGACCCTGATGTTTAAAGAGCCTGCTGGCAGCACGAATGACGGAGGTTGACTTGTGATTCTGTGAAACAGAATGATATCATGTCATTGAAATAATCGGAATACAATTTATTTGGGTCTCACCTTGGACCAATTGCGAGGAATAATTTCACCACCATATGCTCCGAAGAACGAGAGCAAGTTTTGTTTCCAGAATTGTTCAAATTCTCTCTGCAATTCATTAGGCTCTTCCGCAGAGATGAGCAAAGGGTCCAAGTGTTGGAACAAGTGCTTAAATGCATAGTCGACGTAATTGGGTAGATTCTCTCGCTTCATGGCTCGGAGACCCCAGTCATTCCTTTGAATGGCACCATTCACAAGTCGAAGGAGCCGCAACCCAAATGAATATCCATTCTTGTCGCTAATAAAGAATACTTTGTCCTCTTCCTTGCCGATTGGATTTCCTGTGATGAATTCCTTCACCGTTGCGTGGTAGAATTTGATAAGTCTTTTGTTCTTCGAAGGTAGATTGACTATTGAGCTGATGGGCTTGAGTGTCGAGTGAACCTCATGCTCAGTAAACGTTCCCAGGAGCCGTGATATATCATACACGCTGAGTCCCCTCCGTGCAGCAATCATCATCCCAACAACATCACGGTATTTCTGGGCGATACGTGAATCCATTTCGGGATGCTGGCGTAAATAAGCTCGGCGCATTATTCGCAAGTACTCTGAGTTCAGATCCCGAGGTGCATCCGTGAGATTGAGATAGTAATCAAACTCAGATTCTAACGTGGAGCCGCTCTGAGTCTGAAAGTGCACATCGCGTATTCTGGTCGAGGCGATAACGGGTAAGCCACGGCAAGCTGAAGCGAAACCATTGAGATCCTTCTCAGTCGGTTTCCATGGGGAATCCTTGATACAACGCTGAAGCCCATCCACAACCATACAATGGATCGTGTGGAAATTCTCGTCTTCCTCAATCAGATCCATATCTTCATGAGCAATCGAGAGTTGCAATTCAGCTTGGTTCCAAGCAGAAATCACTTGTGGTTCTGGACGACAACTGACGAGTATGGTAAATGTTGAAGGCAGCTCATCGAGCAGAAGAACAAGCCTCATCAAGGACTCGAGTGTTTCTGGATCACCGCACTCGTCAAGTCCATCCAATACGATCACAGGGCGATCATTCCCTGAAGACAACGCATCCCTGAGTCCAGCCATTGGGTTGATAATCCAAGCTTTCATGTCCTTCTCTGCAGCAGAACCACGGAAGCTGCTGAATGAAGCGGGCTCCCGAAGTTGCCTGATAAGCAAGCTCTTATACTCGGCGTTGAATTCCGCAAGCTGTCGGGCAAGGGTGGAGGGGAAGCGCTCAATCGAATCGAGTCCTGTTCCCTGTTGGTTCTTATCCCAGAAGAAGGACGCTGCGAGGGTGCCCTGGTTATCGAGAGTGGAAGCCACGCTCATAGATATCGCGGTTTTCCCGGTCCCAGGTGAACCACGCAGCCAGACAAATCGGTTCTTAGGTTCCCTCAGGTGATCGAAAATTGAGTCGCGAATTTTGTCCCGTGTGGTTTCGAGGCATTCTGACTTGCTCTTCACGCGATGCCACTCAGCATCCGCTTTGGGCAGTTTTGAAAGCTCATCTGAAAATGGGCGTTGAGCTAGAAAGCCTAAATCGAAACAAAAAAGGACAAACAGTCCACCGACACTTGAATCGTATTGAGAAGGTTTAAAGTTGTTGCCGCCGTCTACAGGACACACTTTATTAGTCAAAGTACAGCAGCATGAATGCAAATCTTATGCACCGCAAACCGGGAGAGTGCTACACTGATACACGTCCTCACGTCGGTTATGCTTTGCGCTAACGGGCCCGCATTGAATATTTTCTTGAAGAGGTTTCGGTTCTGACTCTGGAGTGAGTTGATCCTCTGGACCTGGCCTTCCAGAGCCCTGTCAAAAGTGTTTGAGATCTCAATGAAAGGCCGGAACAGCATCCACATACAAGTGTAATTCCTTCACTAGAAAAATAACTTCGGGAGGTATCGGTCCCGTCCACAGCTGGAGTGGCCGTAACATGGTGCTACACGCACTTTGCACATCATCATTCAGCCATTTGAGAGCTTTGTTATTACTGCTGACGTTCTGCGTGAGTGAAGCAAAAGTGAGGGATACATCATCATTAACTGTGAAAACCATATTCGAACCTCGTAAACCTGAAGCAGCGTGAGAAGTGAGTCCGGAATGTTAGGGAGGAACGGGACAGGCGAGAATTTGAGAGCGGAGGATGCGGTTTGGAGAATGAGTCTAGTGGCGCTAATGATGCTTTCCTTTTTGCCCTCCGACGGGCCAGCCGACGATGACGTAGTCGGTTCTGACACAGGGGGTACAAATAAGTTCATAGCATGTTCCAGTTGTGTGCGGGTGCTTTCACTATTGCCGTATGGGGCCCAAGGGTCAGGATTTGCGCAAGCAGTTTCGGAGAGTGATGGCGCCGAAGGGGGATATAGGAATTGGTCCGAATGCGCAGGAATCGACGATGCAGGCGTAGTGGGGACAGAGGATCCAAGGACAGGTGTGCTCGATTGGCTGATACTATTGACATTTGACCGCCAGGTCCTCATGTCTGGCGCGAGCGATCGAAGACCGCCAGAAGGTGACCATGGTGCCGCAATCTGGGAAATTTCGGGATGAGATTCCGTCGATCCATCCCACCGATCAGGGTGACTACCTTCATAGGGGGTTTGTGAGCTGATGGGATAGATGTCAAGCGATGAGACCAAAGCGTGTGATTGCGAATCACTCTCATATATCTCAGGTAGCTCAAGCTCGGGGATTAGGAAAGGCCAAGGATCACCGGAAGGACCAAAAGCGGGTGCGGGCGCAGGAACCCCGAGATAGGGTTCAACTGACCTGCTGCGCCAATCATGAGGAATGTCGCAGCTTTGGAGAGCCTGGGGGTCAGCAGGAAGGACCTGATGTGATGGAGGGAAGGAATGCAGGTGCGGATGACTGTAAGATAGCCCAGGCAGCATCGTCACACTGCTTAGGGGGTAAGAATCACCAGAACCAGTTGCGGTTCCGTGAGCCACGACATACGCTCCACTGTGCCAATCATGAAGATTATTGTCGCCGGTTTGGAGAGTTGGCGGGTTAGCAGGATGGGTCTGGGAAGGGTCAAGTAATGAAGATGGGGCGGATGATTGTTGATTATCGTCGGGTGCCATAGGGGAACGCCGCTTTGGTGGGTGAGGTTCCGGCCCATAGGTAGAGGGTCGTCGTTTTCTGAGGTCCATAGTGCGAGTGCCAAAGCAGGGGTCAGAGGGTAAATAGATTCACTCTCCACCCACGGCTTCTTATATAGTTAGAGATTCATTCCAAGCTGCTGATAGGCGCGCGGTTTGGGCTAATTTAGCGATGGCAGTGCACCACAGTGAAATGCGTGGCAAGTTAAGCACAGATGGTAAGGAACTGCTTAATTTGTCGCTACTACTGCGGCTGCTCATCAACTAGTGCATCGTCGATTTCCATCCATTCTTCTTGTGCTTCCCTTCCAGTGCCTACATCATCTAAATTTTCCACGACAGGCTGATTTCCATCCATATCCACCACTTCTCTGCTTGCCACATTGATCTCATCCTGCATCATTCGACGGCCGCGTGTAATGTGGTTTGGAATCCATGCATCGGCTCTCCGACCTTCAATGTACTTGTTAGGATTAACTACCTTAATTCCGTCCACCAGGCGCTTCAGTGTCTTCTCTATTTTGGGTGATGATGATGATGATAAATCTCTCTTATTACCCCGCGGCCTCGTGATGACGTGGCAGTGCGGCTATCCCGTCTTGACACCGTAGCGTACATGAGGGGATAATCTAAGCATTGTGGTATGGTGTCTGATTGGTATCTTTGGGTGTCAGCGATCCTCGGGTTCTGTAATGTCTGGGGTATTGTCGTGGGATTTGGTATGATAAAGAAAAGAAAAGAAAAATAAAATAAGTAGCGCTCTGTCCTACTGCTCCTCGCTTCCGCTCTACTGCTGCTGTGCTGTGGTTGTTTGGGGCGCCCGTGGTGCGGGGGGGGTCTCGTGGGTTGACCAGTTGTGTCTCGTTTGTGTTTGTCGCCCGTCTTGGACTTCTTGATGAAGGTTGCAAGTCTCTCTATGCCCTTCACCTTGCCCATGAGAGTATTGAATTTGGTCTGGTTGCCGCGTCCGAGGTTATGTCGGTATCTGCTGATGCGGGGGCACTCAGATAGTATGTGTGACCTGGTCTGTGTCAGTCTCCCGCAGTTGCAATTCTTGCTCTCTGATACAATGCCGAATCGGTGGTAATATTCACCAATGTGGGTGTGCCCTGTGCGGAACTGGGTGATTCGGCTGAAAGTCTTCCTGTCTAGTGTGCTGAATCGTCTTGTGGGCTTAATTTTCGGTGCGAGTTGGTTCGCTGCATGGAATCCCGATTTGGGTGGGTTCGGGGTGTTCATCCAGCGGAGGTTCCATGCTTCGGCCATCTCTTTCTTATGCAGACTTGCTACGTATGAGAGGGATTTGAAGTTGGGTCGTGCAGGTCTGAGGCGTGCTCCTTGTTTCGCTAACTGGTCTGCACGTTCATTTCCTGGTATGCTGAAGTGTCCTGGGCACCAGTGAAGTGCTATCTTCACGTCTGTGAATTCGGACAGTATCCCGCGCATGGTTTTCCTGAACTCTCTCGTGAGTTCCTGCCCTTTGCTCGGTTTTCCCTGGAAAACCTGGTTTAGTGCTCCTGTGTTGTCTGCGTATAAAACAATGTGGGATGGTTTGGTGGTGACGTTACCGTCATCCAGGGTGCGTCTAATGTGGTCTGCGGCTGTTTTCAGGCCCATCATTTCGGCATCATAGGCTTCCACGTGTTCGCCTAGGGCTCCGTTTTCTTCAAATGCGACTTTTCCACACGAGTATCCCACTATGCCATAGCCTGTTTTGGTTCGGCCGTCTTCCTCATAGCGGGAGCTGTCTGAGTATACGAGGAGGAGGTTGGGGTCTTCCTCACCTTCGGTGATGAATGACATGTGGTCGTCGGCCCATTCTTGCTTGAATGAGTCGCCGGCGTTGTTGGGCGGGGTGAACAGGTGGGTGCGGTCCATGGTGTCCAGTCCAGAGTTGTCCCATGGGCTTTCGAGGAGGGGTCTGATCCTTTCCGTGCCTGGGAGAATGTGTTTGGCGAACCGGGTGATGCAGGTGGAGAATCGCTTGCGTGGGTCCAACTTGAATCTCTTTCGCGGGTCGAATACTGGGAGGGGTGGGGGAGATGTGGGTGTGGTGTTTCTTCTTTGGTTTGGGTAGAGTCTGTTAATCAGGGGGTGGTCATCTGGGAGGCGGGCGAGCCTGATTGCCTCCGTCTCCAGTTTGTAGTCGAGGTAGATGTCCATGGGTGGGATAGATGACTCTATCTCCATGGCGTTGATGCTTGTCGTGCGGAATGCACCTGTTATCATTCTCAGACATTTGTTCTGAAGGGTGGTCAGTTTTTTAAGAATGGCACCGGATTTTGAGCGCCAGAAGACTGGGAGGCTGTATAATGCGATGGGGAGAATGGCACCTAGGTACATCTGGCGTAGGTGTGTTTGGTGGATTCCCCTTTCCGAGTTCCTGAGCATCCTGAGTGCGTGCGCTGCACTTGTCGCTTTCGCGGTGTAGGCGGGATAATCGCCCACGCGCAGAGCCGGCTCGGATACCCGATTTCACGACTATAAAACCACTTCCATTCACACAACAACCCGATACAAATTCGACATCTAAAAATAGTCCTAATTCCTACGATCCCGTCGATACCAAGAACGTCCCAATCGGTGGAGATTTGACGGAGTTCCGTGTTGGAGAAGTTAGGCACAGCAGGTCACGGGCATGTGCGGGCGTGGGAATCTCAAGCGGCAACCCAGAATTCCAGCCTCACTCGTTCCCACGGCGTCTAATAAATTGGTAAAAATGCTCATCGGCTGCGTGAGAGTTATCTCCGGCTTCATTTCCAATTTTGGCTCTTAATTCCGTAAATCCATTGAGATATCGCTTATTTTCTTATATTTTCATATTTTGCCATCATTTCAGTTATTGATTGATATTCCTTTATTGATACTGTTACCCTTTTTATTATTTCGCCTAATAAGGTATGCAGGTGCCATATGGCATCAATATTCCCCATCTATTATTTCTAAAAATAATTGTTCCTTATATCCTGTACATACCGGATTTTGGAATAGAAGTTCTCCCCTCCCCCAATTTTCTCTAAGGTGCTAGGACGCGCTAGAGAGGGTGTGAGTGTGTGGAATTCCAACAGTAGGAATAAGGGCAGTGATCTAGCTCACAACGAGTGAGTAGTGGACGCTGAGCCCGGACCTTGCGGAATCCCGGAGGACCCACACGGAGTTTAAGGATCGAGAGCATAGCGAGTTAAGTCAAGAAAGTAGGAGTTTAGGGAGTTTGGCCCCCACGAGCTTAGTCGGCATAGAGAGCCGCGAGCCCTCTTTCAGCGGCTGCCCTTTTAACATGTTCTGTGAACTTGAGTTGGGGGTCGAACCAGATGCCTAGGTATCTTATGAGGTTGGAGGGGTTTACCGATCTGGTTGTGTTCACTTCGTTCGTGGGTATGGTGATCGATGGGCCTGGGCCTGCGTTCCTGCCAGTCCTGGATTTGGTGAAGTGAATCAAGTCATTCTTCACCTGGTCTGTTTTGAGGCCTCTTTTCTTCAGCCATCCATGTGCTGCTGTGAATGCAAGTTGGACCACCTTAGTTGCCTCGGCCCTGGACGGTGCTGAGGCTGCTAGGGAGCCGTCGTCTACATATAGCGTGAGTGGATGTGATTTTATCAAATTTTTACTGTGTAGTGCGCTTAGCTCAGGGTCGTTGGACAGTTCCTTCGCGACCGCCTCTGCTATGGCTTTAGACATCGGGGAGGTAAAGTATGCGGCAAGGATAGGGGATACACATGATCCTTGTGGGACGCCCGTTGAGATGGGTTTCAGTTCATCGCGTTTGCCGTCGAGGCAAATGGCTGCTCTCCTTTCCGATAGGAAGCTGTGCGTCCACTTCACTAGGGGATTTGGGATGTGGAGTTTTCTCATCGTGTCGATGAGATGTGCATGTGGTATGCAGTCAAAGAATCCTGTTATATCGAAGGTCAGCATTGTTACCACTTTGTCATGGTTCCATGCGGCCTCTATGTCGTGTGTGATGGATAGTAGGGCGTCCTGTGCTGATCTGCCTGGAAGCCCTCCGTATTGGGTGTTAGGGAATAGTTGGTGTTTTGCGGCTAGGAACGCCAGCCTGCGGGCCTGGACTCTCTCTAGTGCCTTTCCTGAGACTTCCAGTAGTTGGATGAGTCTATATGAGCGGGGTAGCGCATAGTCTCTGTTCGGTTTCTGGAGGGCCACCGCGATGGCGGTTCTCCAGATCTTAGGGTGGTATCCTGAGTCAGCACACAGTCTCAGGAGGTGGTATAATTTGTTGTCTAGTGTGATCCATGCCCATCTCCATGCTCGGCCCGTCAGGCCGGATATACCTGGTGCGTTTAGTTGCGCAGCTGTGAAGATGGCGTCGCGGACTTCACTCTTAGTCACGCTTACATATTCCATGTCCTCATTGCGGGGGGTGAGGTTGATCGGTGGTGCGTCGGGTAGAGTGGGTGGTTGGGGGAAGAGGTTCTCGCGCAGAATGTTACATTTCTCTTTGTGTTTCACCGCTGGGCGACCTGTCCCGCTTAGGATCGGGGGGGAGATGTAGGTTCTTTGGCATTTCGTCCATTTGCGGAAGTTCCACATGTTCCTTGAGTTTGCTTCCTCTGTTAGCTTACGGTAGTAATCCTTCTTTGCCTTTCTGATTTCTGAGTGAATGTCTTTGTGTAGGGACTTGGCTTTGTCCACGAGGTAGATAGAAGGTTGGTTGAAGTCTCTCATCCAGCCTCTCAGTGAGTCTTTGGTCTGTCTTAATTCATGGTATGATCTGGTTAGGTTTTCATTCCACCATGGTTTTGACGCTTTGCTGGGCCGTCTTATGGGGATGGACTTTGCTGCGGCTTTTTCCACAAGGCCGTGGATTAGTGCCGTGGCTTCCTCTAGCTCTTCTGGTGACGCTGTGTTCCGGCTGGCATTGAGTAGGTTACCCTTTAGGTTGTCTACTTTCTGTCGCTCGCGTGTTATTGCTTCTTTTAGGGCTTTTGTGAAATCCTCTTCCTTCGCATGTTTCCAGTTCAGTTTGGTTTCACAGGGGTTAATGACAAGTTCTCTGGGGGTCCTATCTGGAATATTGTGGCGTGGTGGTCTGATAGACAACCAATTTCTGTGTCGATAAAGTGGCCTGAGATGGCCCCGGCCCCATTGGCTGCGGCATTGGCGAAGGTGAGATCTATCACAGAGGAGTGGCCGTTGTTGTCTTCCCAGGTTGGGACGTATGGTTCGTTGCAGAGTGAG